CATTTATACAATATTAGCAGCATTTTAGTACGAAGATCACAAAACCGATCAAGAGAAATTAAAAGAAAATGCTTTGCAAGTTGCAGCTGAAAAGTAAAAGCAGAAAATAGAAGTAAGAGGAATGGCAGTTTGGATGAAACCCGCAAGGAAACCCGCCGAAACCCACAACCGCCCCGCCCCGCATTAGATTTTTAAAAAATAGTTTTAATCCGCCCCGTACCCGCAACTGCCCCGCATAAGATCAAACCCGCCCCGCCCCGCATAAGATCAAACCGCCCCGCCCCGCCCTGCCCCGCAGTCACACCGTCCCACTGCCATCCCTAGTCTGGTTTTTTCTTAACCGTGAGGACGATTGAATTGGGCGAAAACAAATTCGGGGAAAGATAATTCATGATGAATGTTTGTTTTTATCCAGTTGCCACGGATTTCAATGAAACCACGTTCGTTTTTAGCTTTCTGTTTGCATGTTCTGTTAAATGGACTAAAGCTGCTAAGTTTTAGCAAAGATAAGGGATGATAGGTGCTCAAGGTAATATATAAAGGACAACCTTATAGATGAATTTACTTAAGGGTGTCAATGGATATTTAAAAATTAATTAAACCGACCGAACCGTACCATACCGAACCGATTTTTAAGTTTCTTATAATAAAATCGTAGGTTTTTATATAAATCTCTTTCCGAACCGATAATTAGGGTAGATTTTTTATTTTTTGATAAACCGAAAAAATACCGAACCGTACCGAATAAATTTACAATGTGAAAAATATATTTATATATGAAGTTTAAAAATAATAAAGCATTAAATTTTTTCTGGGGCCTTGGAAATATGAAATAGTTACAAGACAACAAGTAATTAAACTTAAAATCCTAATTCCCAAACCTATTATGCTACACCTATTGAAACTAAATTATTTCCAGCATATTCACTAGCAAAACACAAGGTATTGTAGCGATTATGAGTTGCAAAACTACAATGTATTGAATATGTTTCCTTTCATAGATTTAGATTTATCTTTTTGAATATTTAATCTTCTATAGACTTTATTCTTGAGACCCAGCTTGGTTAATATCTTTCCACTCGTGTGATTTATATTTTTGTTGTATTTTTTTAGTTTCTTTTACGTTGATGTAGAATAGTTGATGGATTTGTACTCTTGCCATCCTTTTATATTTTCTTAATTTATCACCTTCTAAACTGTAAAAATGTCTAGAGAGTTTTGCTAAGTCCTATAAAAGTACGTATGTTATTGCATTCTATTTCTACTATTGATTTTACATGACATTTAAAAAAAATACCGAATATTTACCGAACCCTACCGATACCGAAGAGAAACCGACATGATTGGGACGGTTTCAAAAAGTCTAATTTTGGTTATACATAATAGAATAACTGAAAATTGGTATGGTACAAATTTTATAAAATAACTACCCGAACCGAACCATTGACACCCCTAAATTTACTCTAAAAGATCGACTTCAAATCATTTGGAAGAAATAATTACATACTTTGTATATCTTCAAAATGAGAACTGAAATTAAAACAGAATTATTTCACAAGTAATGTCATGGGCGGCTTTCCAGCCATGCCCCATGACCCCTTGGGCGCGCCCCGTGGCGTCCTAGCAAACCTCCCAATGCCTAGCGCCACGGACGGCCCCGTGGTCTTGGCTGCGCCAAGTGACAAGCGCGCAGGTGCCTCTGTCGCCCCACCGATATCCCTCGCGAGCGACAACGCCGCGCGCGCAGACCGTGATGCCAAAGACACTGCTGCTGACAATGGACCTGCTGCTGCCTTATAGAAAACTAAGTCATTTTCATTGTAAATATAGAGTAGTTTTATTTCATGTACTTCCATTATGTTTCTCTAGCATAGTCAAGTCTAGTCTTGTAACTTTGGATTATTTTTTTTAAGTACTATTAGGGGGGATCAAGCAATCAAAACTTTCTAGCAAGCAAGCAATTCTCTGTACTGGTGTCTCTCCCCCTCGACACCGCGTTGCTTTTCTGTAATAGCTTTCATTAATGCAATCAAGCTTTCTTTCATTCTGAATTCTCATTTCTGTTCTCTCAATTGCTCTTGACATTGGTTTTCCCGTACGACACTGACAATCTCATCTAGCGTACGGAGGGGACCTCAGTTGGCGGACAGCAACTGCATTGACATCAGTTGCCTAGCCTTACGTCACCCTTCCAAGGAATCTCAGGAAGGCGCCGCGTAACAGTTGGTATCAGAGCCTAGGCTCGACATCGGACGAGGGAACGTATTGACATACCACCATTTCTGACCATAGTGAATCATGGGGACCGCATTGCGGCCCTCGAAGGGACGGTTGAGGTATTGCGGCCTATTGTGGATACGGTGCCTGAACTAAGAACCAGCCTACTGCAAAGGTTGGACGACCTGGACCGCAGGGTGCTTCAGGTGGAAGTTGACGTTGAAAACATCAGTCGCAACTCCGAGGGAGACCGGCAGACGGCAGCCACAGAGGTAGCCGAAATCTTTGAGAAATTCGAGGGGCTCCAACAGGAGCGCACCGAGGATTTAGCCCACAGGACACAAGAGGCAGAAAAGGTGACTGCCATGCAACAAACCATTGACAAATTGACAGACCAACTCAATGTTGTCAATGCTGCTTTACAGGGCCTACTCCGAGGAGGTGGAAACCAAATCGGAGGTGCTGTGAACTCCTCTTCCGCGACAAAGAAACTGAAAATTCCTGAGCCAAAGCCATACAGTTGAGCTAGGAATGCCAAGGAAGTGGAAAACTTTATCTTTGACGTCAAACAGTATTTCGATGCTGTTGAGGATCCGGAGGAAGCTAAGAAGGTAGCAACTGCTGCCATGTATCTTCAGGGTGATGCTAAACTCTGGTGGCGTGTGAAGTACGAAGCCATCAAGGCCGGTGAAGATGCTCTCGAGACATGGGCCGAACTGAAGGAAGCTATACGCCTGCAGTTCTTCCCCGAGAATGTTGAATATAATGCAAGGAGAAAACTACGGGAGCTCCGCCAGACGGGACTACGTGCGAGAATTCTCCGCACTCATGCTCAGCATACGCGACATGGGGGATAAGGACAAACTCTTCACCTTCATGGAAGGGTTGAAACCTTATGCCCGCGTGGAGCTACAGAGACAAAGGGTAGATTCCCTTCCCAAGGCAATCCAAGCAGCTGAATGCCTTGGGGACTATCAAATGGAAGCTCGAAGGGACAGGCCTCAGCCGCCTGCCCGAGCAGGGTTCAAAGGGGGCCAGCCTAGCAGTGGTGGTCCTAGCAAATATGGGGGAGATCGGAACTCAAACAAATCTAGAGCTCCTTCCTCCGGCAGCAACAGTGCTGCGTCAAACAACAATGATCGGGCGAGAAAGCCTCCTTCAGGATACCGTCATTGTGGCGGTCCACATTGGAACAATGAGTGCCCACATGCACAGATGAATGCCCATCAGGCTATTGATGATGGGACTGATGACGACTCAGACGATGCGGACCAGACTGAACTAGTAGGTGCCTTCAATGCAATTGTGGGTTCCATTTCTGAGGCACTAACGGAGACCAGTGCTGGTATTCGTAAGAAGAAGGACTCATGTCCCGTCACCAGGAAAGGGAAAAAGAAGGCGAATGAAGAGACTCCTCTTAAACAAGAGAGGACCTTAATGTTCGTCGAGATGAAGGTGAATGGCAAGCCCATTCGGGCTATGATAGACACGGGTGCTACCCACAACTACTTAGCCTCGACTCAGGTGGAGCGCCTTGGACTAGTTGTAGGGAAAGGTAAAGGTAGCGTCAAGGCTATCAACTCACCTCCCCAGCCAGTGGGTGGAATAGCTACAGAAGTACCGGTGAAGCTTGGGCCTTACGAAGGAAAATTCAACCTGCGAGTGGTGATCATAGATGACTTCGAGTTGATTGTTGGGCTGGAATTCCTAAGGCAAACCAACACCATGCCTGTACCATTTGCAGACATGCTACTGATGATGGGTACCAATAGGACCAAGCCCTGCATTATCCCGTGCCTGCCCATGAAGATGGCCATCGAGAACATCTCGGCCTTGCAGTTGAAGAAGGGGGTCAAAAGGAATGAACCTACGTTCCTGGCAACCCTCTGCATTGAAGATATAGAACGCTCCTCGGGTCCCATTCCTGAACCCGTGAAGGAGTTACTACTGGAGTTTGAAGATTTCATGCCACAAGACATGCCAAAGCGCCTCCCGCCTAGGCGCACTGTGGACCATGAAATTGAGTTGGTGTCGGGCGCGAAGCCACCTGCCCGGGCGCCTTACAGAATGTCACAACCCGAACTCACCAAGCTTCGGAGACAATTGACGGAAATGCTTGATACAGGGATCATTGTACCCTCCAAGTCCCCATATGGGTCCCCTGTTCAATTCCAAAAGAAACATGATGGCAGCCTGCGACTCTGTGTAGATTATCGAGCTCTAAACAAAATCACCGTGAAGAACAAGTACCCCATTCCCCTAATGGCGGACTTGTTTGATAGACTGGGTGCCGCTACGGTGTTCACCAAGATAGATCTGAAGACAGGTTATTGGCAAGTTCGGATTGCAGAGGGTGATGAACACAAGACGACTTGTGTGACAAGATATGGGTCGTACGACTTCCTGGTCATGCCATTCGGCTTGACCAACGCACCTGCTACGTTTTGCACTCTCATGAACCAAGTCTTCCGAGAGTACATCGACGAATTTGTGGTGGTCTACTTAGATGACATTGTGGTATATAGCCAGACACTGGAAGAACACCTGGTACACCTGCGGAAGGTCCTAGCACGGTTGCGAGAACATGAACTATATGTAAAGCTGTCCAAGTGCTCCTTTGCTCAGAAGCAAATTGATTTCCTCGGACATGTCATCGAGGAAGGACGCATCAAGATGGACCAGCAGAAAATCCAGGCCATCACAGATTGGCCGACACCTAAGGATGTCCACGCCTTGAGGGCGTTCCTTGGCCTATGCAACTTCTACAGGCGGTTTGTGAAGAACTACTCGCTTATTGCAGTGCCATTGACAGGACTCCTCAAAAAGGTCACACCCTGGGATTGGGGACCAAGGAGAGCAGAGGCCTTCAACGCATTAAAAGCGGCTATGTCTAGTAGTCCCGTCTTGGCCCTTACTGATTTGGCCAAGTCGTTCGAGGTACAAACAGATGCTTCTGACTATGCACTCGGTGGAGTCCTCCTACAAGAAGGGCACCCTGTAGCGTACGAGAGTCGGAAGCTGAAGGATGCAGAGCGGCGCTATGCCGCCCATGAGAAAGAATTATTGGCTGTCGTCCACTGCTTGCGCCTCTGGAGGCACTATCTGCTGGGAACCCCGTTCATGGTCAAGACAGACAACACAGCTGTTAGCCATTTCATGACTCAGCCGAAGCTGAATGGTCGACAGGCCAGGTGGCAGGAACTCCTAGCTGAATTCCACTTCAACTTGGAGTATCGCAGTGGAAAGACCAATCATGTTGCTGATGCGCTCAGTCGGAGAGCTGACCTAGCATCGGTGTGCCTACTCGCCACCCTAAGGGGGAGCGAGGTAGCCACATCCATCAAGGACCAAATACGGGATCTACTCATCAAGGATCCTGCTGCTCAGTATTTGGTTGATTTGGTAGGACAGGGCAAGACTCGCCAGTTCTACATGGAAGATGGGTTTCTGAAAGTAAAAGGGAACCGACTTTATGTTCCTAAAGGAGGAGATTTGCGGAGGACTCTGCTAACGGAATGTCATGATACTCTGTGGGCCGGCCATCCTGGTGAAGAACGCACCATGGCGTTACTTCGTCGGGCCTATTATTGGCCTCAAATGGCCGATGATGTCGCTCAGTATGTGAAGACTTGTCTAGTATGCCAGAAGAACAAGTCGGATCGCTTGACACAAGCGGGACTCTTGGAACCACTTGCTGTCCCAAAGAGACCTTGGGAAAGCGTTTCCCTGGATTTCATCACCGGATTGCCCAAGGTCGGAGATCTCACAACCATCTTAGTTGTGGTGGACCGGTTCTCTAAGTATGCCACCTTTATTGCAGCCCCACAATATATATCAGCAGAAGATACAGCTCGACTCTTCTTCTCTCATGTCGTCAAATATTGGGGCCTGCCCAAAGACATTGTTAGTGACCGCGACTCACGCTTCACTAGCAACTTTTGGACCCAACTCTTCAAGTGCCTTGGGTCAAAATTGAGTCACAGCTCAAGTTTTCATCCGCAATCTGATGGNTTTTGAATTTTTGTTGTTAATACTAAAATTATTATTACTAACAAATTATTCTAATTAATTTTTTACTATGCTCATTGTTTTGTTATTCCAACATTATATATGCTCAAATACTTTTTATTTATTTAATTTATAAAATAATTTTTATTTATTCTATAGGTAAGTCCATAATATAAATTAAAAAGGAAAAATCATAATATTAAAAAGTTTTAAAAAAATAAATAAAAAGAAGATAAATGTTTATAATTTAGTGGGTAAAATAGGTATTTGGTAATCCAAAATTTGGAAAATCAAGTTGAGTGACCTTCTGAGTGCAATAAGCATAGTGCAATGACTTTGTTGCTACAAACAAAAGAAAAATAACTTTAGGAGATAATTTGGGATAGTTGAGTGGCCATCTGAGTAATTGACTCCTTTAGTTCACATATGTTTACACTCTTTGTGGAAAATACTCGATTTAGTTAAAACCGAGTAAACCAGGCCCCATCCGCCTCATCCTAACCGGGGCACAAGACTAAAGAAGATAAATATTTCAGAGTTGAGAAAGATCAAATACTAGATGTTGACAAATGTACTGATGCTGCCTTAGTTTTTCCTTTTTCTTTTTATTGAGTACTAAGTACCAAGTGGTAGTGTTAGTAGTTTAGTGACTATAATATGCAATGCAAAAGAGAAAAATATGACCAACCGTGTATCCAGAGATCCCATGTGGATCAATAAAAGATGATGTGTGGAATATAGCATGGCAACCTCTAAAAGCACTACAGAGGCTCTCTAAATCACCCATTCTTGCCACCACAACACTTTCCAATTGCTCCATTTCTTCTCTCATCAGCTCCTTCATGTCCTCAAGATTAGCTGCTCAAAAGGAAATAACTTGCAAATATTAGCAACAAAAACCAAATATAAAGAAGGGGTAGCTTCAAATTCTGTCATCAACAAAATATTCAATTATATACACAAGTAGGTGGTCACGGGAGTCTTGGCGTAATTGGTAAAGTTGCTGTCGTGAGACCAGGAGGTCACGGGTTCAAGTTGTGGAAACAGCCTCTTGCAGAAATGCAGAGTAAGACTGCGTACAATAGACCCTTGTGGTCCTGCCTTTCCTCAGACCCCGCGCGTAGCAGGAGCTTAGTGCACCGTGCTGCCGTTTTTATATACACAAGTAGGAACTGCACAAGTACACAACTAATTAAGGAAAAAGGGTTGCTAGTACCTTGATTTTGAATGGTAACCCGAACAAGGTAACCGCATGCCAAAAGCTTCTTGATCAAGTGAGAACCAAAGTAGGAGTTTCCACTGGTGACACAAACAATTTTCCTGTCTCTTGCATTCAGACTGCAGCTAAGATCACTAGAAAAGCACATTCCATGATCATTCCTCTGCTTTAGTAGCTCTATTGGTAAGGACATTGCTACCTCCATATCTCTCTCTGCAGCTCAGAATCTGAAGTATTCTTGTGATCAGAGCCTTCAGCTACCTGCCACTTAAGTTGATATAGTAAGAGTGCGGCTTTCTTGAACTTCTAAAAGATACTATATATAGTTACTACTAGCTAAAATACTAAGAATAGTAAAGATGGCAAGAAAGATGAGGTGATGTGATTGTATGGAAGTTTTCACTGTCAACTAGAAAGTTAGGTTGTGTTTGTGGATATAAGTGCCCCCAATTTCTGCAGTTTAGGAGGTCTCCGTCTCACTCAAGCAGTATATATAAAATGAATTTCAAAGATTTAGCTAACACCTTAAACTAGATATTAGACCTTAGAATAATTTAGATTAGGATAAGAGATGTATAATTAATTACAATTAAGGAGGTAGGTTTGCCGATCAGGTTCCCTATCTACACCTAACCAACATATTAGTCGTTGATTAAAGTATGAAGTCTTGGATACTTCTGTCTAATTCAAGGGAAATTCAAGGTAAAGTTTGGCCAAGGGTCTTATGAGTTCACTCTAGGATCATATTTTTTAATTGAAAATGTTAAATCAACCACAATTTGTCAAAATAATTTTAAGGCAAAAAGATCCAAAATAGGGGGTAAGGTTGCGTACATCTTATCTTCTCCAGTCTTATTCCTATCCAGACCCCACTTGCGGAAAACTACCGGCTTTTTGTTGCTGTTGTTATAAGGCAAAACGGTAGCTTACGTGGAGACTGCAAAATCGTCCAAAAGAAAAGTCATCCAATTGATGCAAGAGCGACACTCATTTAATGCTAACTGGTAGGGTTTGTGGCATTTGAATCTTACACATCCTAGCTTCTTCCAAATCACAATCTATTCTACGTAGCACTGCTTTAGTCATTAGATTGCCATTCGAAAACATTGAAGATTTTTTTTACAACTTCAATCAACTAAACTTTAACCTTACATTGCACGTTCTTAAGTCAATCCTACTCTTTTTTTTACTCTTTGATCCATAATAAGCGACCAATTTATTTTTTTATTTTGGTCCAAAATAAATGTTCATTTATATAATCAAGAAAAATTTAAATCAGGTTAATGACATGATTAATTAACATAATAAAGAGTCAGTGCCTCGTTTATTGAATAATAATATCTCTAGGGACAAACTTTGGTTGGTCAAAACAGCTACACCAAACAATTGTTTGCCCTCGAGAATTTCCATGTGCTTCCAAAAGCGCGTATCTGCATTCGGCACCTTTAAACCTCGTGAAATTCCAACTCAGAACAAACAACGATTAGTTAGCATGTATTTTAAGTCAAACGAACTCTTGACTAATATATCTACATTGTATGAATAGAATGTTGAATTTCAGAATGCTACAAAACCAATTGTTTGCCGTGTGATCTAGTAAAGACAACAAAAAGGAGTTAAAAAAGAATGCAGATTTCAACGCTAGCCAAAAAAGGAATAGCACAGTGATTTACACAATGTAATTACAGGTCAGATCTCTCAGTGAGTTATGGTATATTCATTCCAAGATTGTGAGAAACCACCACTTGTCGTCGGGAATTGCTTGGATTTTGCACCAGGTGGGAACACTAGGGTAATATTTGATAATAAGTCGTTGAACACTCAACTCCTATAGCTGCTTTGGGAGTAATTGAAGAAATCTGAACTGTATTCTTGACTTCCAAAGGCCATTCTTTGAAACATTCTTATCTGTGCAGATTGTTCCCTTGAATCAAAAATTTCACTTTGTCCAGGTTTCATTCCATTGGACAGATCTGACAGCTCATCCATGGAATCTAGAGCTCTAACCACCTGGAACGAGAAGAGAGACCGACAATGCAAAAAATTAGGATTGCAACAAAATGAATAATAAACTGCCTCTCTGCAAATAAGACTAATCACCTGGCTCATACGAGGCCTTTTTGGGCCTGAATGACGTACACAAGCTGCAGCTGCTTCAATCATCCGGAACATCTCACTCGCAACAAAGTTCTTTTCAAGCCTTGGATCTACTATACCTTCAAAATTTTCAGTCTCAAGTGCTTGAGCAAGCAAAGGTCGAGCCTACAAGATAGAAGGTAATATTCTCAACTTTCACTTAGCGAAGACACCCAAGTGACTATGAGAATAATGAATAAGCAAACAGGACAAACTTTCAACAGTTCAATCCCTAGTGTGAATAGTGATATTATTAGTCAGACAAGGATAAGAGCAGTATCACCCCTTCCTGATATTCTGTCTAAGGGTATTTAGGGGTACAGGGAATAAAATGGCATGGGTTACTACATTTTATCCTGTTAGTTTAAAGTAAGGGATCAAAGAGAATGGTTAAGTAAAGTTGGCACGTGGTCAGGGAATGGGTGGGCCGCATGGGAATGGGGTGCCTTATCTTTTCTTTCATGTTCTTTTCTTTTATTTGTTGATAAAGAGCTACCATGTCCTTTTCTTTTATAAACTTCAGCAGGTTTTGTTATGAACTTGTTAGTTTAAATAACCTTCTTGCAATTCAATTTAGGATAATCTCAAAAGAACAAGAAGCGCAACCCGAAAGTAATGGAGGTCGCATATTTCTAAACTAAAAAGGTAAATAGTACTTGGCCCAATCACATAGCTTGAACTTTATGTTTTGTTTTTGCTAACAAAAAGTGAGGATTTTATTGTCATCCTCTCCCAGGGTGATGGAACTTAGAAAGTATATTAAGTAGAAGCGAAATTAGACTTCACAGCTACTCAATTAGCAGTACTAACAGAAAATTAAATATTGAGTGTAAACCACTGCCAGATAAACCTAGTAATCTAACTGAGTGGAAAAAGTAGGAATATTCTGATGCTACCCGCTTCGCTTCCAAGAAAAGGTGAAATCACAAGCTTGCAGTTAGGTGAACTAGACATCATTTCCTAGTCGGTTTATACTAGTCTCAATTATGTTGGTGCTTTAGCATTTTGTTTTTTTACTGTCCTAGTTGTGCTATTCCTAAAATCACTCCTCTACATCTTTTTAATAAATCAAATTCATTTTATTACATATCACTCCAGCCAACTATCCATGAAACACGAAATATTATGTTTACACAAAAAACTCAAATGAAATGAACTCTCTCCTTTGACTCTCCATAATAGTCA